GAAGAGCTTGCCATTCTTCCCTCAACGTCGATCCCGTCAGGGCAGTTTGCTGGGTTGTGGGTATTGTTGGCTGCTAGTGATCGGAGCTTTCTTTTGGCTGGGCATCCAGCTGTAGCAAGGGTTCTCTTTATGATGTCGTTGACTTCACTGTGTCTTGCATGCCAGCCCTTGGTTTTGAAACAGTTAAGACCATGTAGACTATATTGGTCGGCTTGCGCATAGCCGCAAATACATGTATACGGGTACCTTCGGACTTATGACCGAGTTTGGTTCTGACCAACCAGTTGTAAGTCGAAATGGACGCAAGTCGAACCTTACTACTGAATATCAACACCACATTTTTGTAACGACTTTATTATTTTACTTTGGTATTTCATTTTTTACTTTACTTTTTATGCTGTTAGTACTGTATTTTATACTGTAAGGTTTAGGATAAACACTGTGTACAACACGAACAGTTATTTATTTCCCAGAAATTTGGCATAAAAAACACGGTCGTAAGACGAATGGTCGTATGTCGAGCAGGTCGTAAGTCGGATGGTAGGTGTATTCTGTGTGAATTGGGGCAGCAAGGTGCAGAGCCACTGCAATACAGAGGGTCTTAGGGTCGAGGCGTGTTCCCACTGTCAAAATGGGAACTGTTTGGAGGAAGTCCATAAAGTGAAGTGCACTCACAGCTTAGAGATGGGCAGTCTCCCTGTCTGTTACAGCCCTAAGCATGTTGGCAAGCACCTTTTCAGCACTGGGGCCATCCCAACTTGACTGTTTGTAGGTCAGTGCTGCACTAGGTTTTGGTGCTGGAGCAGCAAGTGTCCTATTCAGTGATGGCACTGGCATAGCTAGGGTCCTGTATTCCTTCTGAGTCACTGAGGTTGTCTGGAAGAATTTGTTTTATTAACTCATTTGATGCCATGGAAGAGGATAGGAGAGCAGATAGGGCAATCTGGGAGGATTTGCGTACTCTCAGCCCCCCAAGCCTGACTGGAAGTGAGGCTTGCAACCACTGTCCATCTTCGAGGGAAAGATTCAATGCACTCTCTAGCATGGTCTTAAGGAGAGAGTCATATTCCTTGAGCTTTGGACTGCTGAAGGCTGGGGAGCATCTCAGGAAGTAGGTAAGTTTTAGGATTGACAGGCACCTGGTGAGTAGGTAGAAGGCATCATGTGTATCGAAATCTTTCATCCTGCCTTCCATCGTCCTGAGTGTAAACCGGAAACCTGTAATTGTTTTACATGATGGGAAGATTGCTGTTGTCTTTTTCTGTCTCATCAACATGAAAGATTTCAGGTACATATTGCTACTTCTACTTACACTTAGGTCACACTATGCATGCATGTATAAGTATATATATATATATGGAATGGAACTCTTCCTCCATAAGCCATGCATGTCATAAAAGGAGACTAAAATGCCAGGAACAAGGGGCTAGCAACCCCTTCTCCTGTATAAACCACAAAAAAAAAAAACTTTCGTTTTTCTTTTTAGGTTACCCTGCCTTGGTGGAATAATACACACACACACACACACACAATGTGACTAGGCCTTGCAGTGGGTCAGGACCTGATCAACCAGGCTGTTTCTGCTGGCAGCACGTAAACCGACGTATGAACTACAGCCTGGCTAGTCGGGTACTGACTTTAGGAGCCTGTCCAGCTCCCTCTTGAAGACAACCAGGGGTCTATTGGCAATCCCCCTTATGCATGCTGGGAGGCAGTTGAACAGTCTTGAGCCCGACATTTATTGTGTCGTCTCTTAGCATACTCATGGCACCCCTGCTTTTGTAGCTTTTGTAAAGAGTGATTTCTTTGTGCAGATTTGGGACTAGTCCCTCTAGAATTTTCCAAGTATATATTATCATGCATCTGTTTCGCCTACATTCCAAGGAGTACAGGTCAAGGGAATTTAACCGTTCCCAGTAATTTTGGTGCTTCATCGTACTTATATGTGCCGTGAAAGTTTTTTATACAAGCAATATAGAGAATCATCATGTGAAATGAAAAGTGCTACACCAGTGAATCTAAATTTTGTTACAAGAAAATGTGATAATCTTACTGCTGACATGGAAAATTTTTTTTTTTAGTGGGGTGAATTGAAGATCAAACTAGCCACAACATGCTTTTAAGCTGAGCCATTATCCAGTCCAAGGCCCTAAGTCTCTTGATTTCCTGACTTCCTACAATAAATACTACTCACCTCTCATGCTACATGAAGGGCAAAAATATTTTGAGGTAAGTAATGAGAGTACTGTACAGGACGGCCATCACTAATCCGGCAATCAGTTATCCGCATCCACCAGGAATCCGGCACTAATTTTGGCTAGCATAATTTCAAATTTCTTCATTATACTGACTCAAATTGTGCGTATGGTTGTAAATCCACAGCAGCAAGATAGTGGAGGAGAAAGCAGTGATGAAAATGAGGAAGATGTAGCAGAAAGTCTTTCTAGTGATAGGTTAATTAAGTGTATTCTAATCTAACCACTCTGTAATCCGGCAAACTCGCTAATTCGGCACACTACAGGTACCAATGATGCCGGATTAGTGATGGCTGACCTGTATATACAATTTACTTTTCGTTGTTTTTGTTTAGGCCTAGGTCTATTGCTAACTTAATATATGATAATGTAAATATGTTATCAGGCATTTATATGCATTTAAAAGTGAAAAATGGGTTATTCACTGTATGGCAGTAGGCTGGAGCCTAACCCACTGTATAAGCAGGGCCCTACTGTATCCTTAAACCTAAATACATTACATTATATATAATAAATTTAAAAGGGGAAATAATTTTTTCATGGTCTACTTACCACAATAGAATGAACAGCGCCGATTCTGGCAACAGCCAACATGGCCACCACCAGTTCCTTGATCATGGGCATGTAAATGGCTACACGGTCGCCCTTACTTACTCCTCTGGCCTTCAGAAGGTTGGCCACGCGACACACATCCTTCAGTAGGTCACCATAGGTCACCACCTCGGCATCTGCTGGGTCATTGCCCTCCCTGGGGACAACATGGGATATACGTACTGCAATGCTTCACAGTATCTTCATAGCCTACTAAATCTCCCCTCATGCTCACACATGTCAATACTTCATGTATGCAACCTATCCTACATAATAAAATGACAGGGGAAACTATTTTTGTTCCTCTAATACAACCACTATGCAGAAGAGAGTAGCCACATGTTAACTAACCTGATTTTATTACAAATAAAAACCTACTGTTATGTGTGCACACCACCAGCCTTGTCACTACTCGTGCAAGTCTGCATTCAGCAATGAGCATTTTTTTTTTATCGTGATAAGCATGATAAACGCTCTTTCCAATAAAAGCCCTTCCCTCCCACCTCCACCTACCCACACACGCATGCACAAAAACATGCATTCAAGTAAGCACACATGCCCACATGCATATATGATAAAGATCACAGAGCAGGAAAATAGTGGACCTAGTAGTCACCAGTGAACAGGTGGAGCCAGGAGCTGTGAATCAACCCCTGCAACCACAAATAGGCAAACACAAAAAGGTGAGTACACACTAACAACCACATATAGGAGAGACCAAAAACACACATGCACACACGTTACGCTTGTGCAAGAAAAATGACAAATCAGAGATACTCGGAAACGAGGGTTGGAGTGGGATGATGGCAGAGGACAGGACTAACTAGGAGCAATAATAGATAGCCTAAAGAACTAAATGAGGTTGGAGTTAGAAAGGAGGCTCAATTCTTTTAGAAGGGAAATCAAAGCAACATGAGCCAAGGTTAGGGAAGAGGTTACTGAAAAGGCAAATAGGGCTAAAATGGCTGAGGAAAGGGCCCTAGAGCTGGAGGAGGAAACTTGGACACCATCTGAAAAAAGCAAAGGAAGATGCTACACAACGAGTTAATAAGAATCTAAAGCTTAAAGATGGAAAGAAAGGATCGAAGGAAACTACAGAGGAAATGAGAGGGAGGATATTAGTGGTGGTAACAATGAGTTCAAATTCAAATTCAGAGGGGGCCCAGAGAGGACAAAGATGGAAAGACACTAGTAGAAATTTTTTCTGAAGATAGGGAGATGAGGGAGGTGACAAGAGATACTGTAAAGGAAATACAGTGGTACCTCGGGATACAAACTTTTTTAATTGCAGAAGGCTGTTCGAGTGCTGATACCGAATGAATTTGTTCCCATAAGAAATAATGTAAATTAGATTAGTCTGTTTCAGACCCCCAAAAATACACTTACAAAAGCACTTACATAAATACACATACATAACTGTTTCAATTTTGAGCTGTTCGTAACCCAAGGTACCACTGTACAGAGGAACCTTGACTTACGAGTGTCCCAAAGTACGAGTTTTTTGAGATACAAGCCGTTCCTGGGATGATTGTTTGCTCTGAGTTACGAGCCAGTTCCCCCTTCCACAACCCAAAACTTGGACATCTCGCTTGTTTATCTATGATTTCATGCTTTAATTCCATGGAAATCATTCTCTTTTTCTTCTCAGCACTGTCCTTTACACTTACTTTCTTAAGACCCATGCTTAGAAAAATGAAATTTGGCCAAATGACTGCCAAAAATGTAAGCAAAGCACGAGAGAACTGCTTCCAGAGTGAGGTAAACAGTGCACTGAATTGGCGGAATTCATTACAATAATAATAATAATAATAATAATAATAATAATTAGTGTTATTATTATTAATTTAGGTAACTAGAGCACAGATTCAATTCCCTAAATCAAGAGCCCCTCACCAGTGTCAAGTTTCCTTGATGCTGGTGAGGGGCTCTTGATCTAGGAAATTGAATCTGTGCTCAAATTTCCTAAATTAATAATAATAATAATAATAATAATAGTGAAGCCATGTAAAAAGAGAGCAAATGAGAGTGAGATGTTATCAACAAATTTTGTTGAAAATAAGAAAAAGTTTTGGGCTGAGATTAACAAGTTGAGGAAGGCTAGGAAACAAATGGATTTGTCAGTTAAAAATAAGAGAGGAGAGTTATTAAATGGAGAGTTAGAGATATCGGGAAGACGGAGGGAATATTTTGAGGAATTGTTAAATGTTGATGAAGATAGGGAAGTTGTGATTTCATGTATAGGGCAAGGAGGAATGACATCTTGTAGGAGTGAGGAAGAGCCAGTTGTTAGTGTGTGGGAAGTTCATGAGGCAGTAGGTAAAATGAAAGGGGGTAAGGCAGCTGGGATTGATGGGATAAAGATGGAAATGTTAAAAGCAGGTGGGGATATAGTTTTGGGGTGGTTGGTGCTATTATTTAATAAATGCATGGAAGAGGGTAAGGTACCTAGGGATTGGCAGAGACCATGCATAGTTCCTTTGTATAAAGGCAAAGGGGACAAAAGAGAGTGCAAAAATTATAGGGGGATAAGTCTTTTGAGTATACCTGGTAAAGTCTATGGTAGAGTTATTACTGAAAGAATTAAGAGTAAGACAGAGAGTAGGATAGCAGATGAACAAGGAGGCTTTAGGAAAGGTAGACCAAGTGTTGACAGTGAAACATATAGGTGAACAGTATTTAGATAAGGCTAAAGAGGTTTTTGTGGCATTTATGGATTTGGAAAAGGCGTATGACAGGGTGGATAGGGGGGCAGTGTGGCAGATGTTGCAGGTGTATGGTATATGAGGTAGGTTACTGAAAGCAGTGAAGAGTTTTTGCGAGGATAGTGAGGCTCAGGTTAGAGCATGTAGGAAAGAGGGAGATTATTTCTCAGTAAAAGTAGGCCTTAGACAAGAATGTATGATGTCACCATGGTTGTTCAATATACGTGTATTTATAGATGAAGTTGTAAGAGAAGTGAATGCTAGGGTCTTGGCAAGAGGTGTGGAGTTAAAAGATAAAGAATCAAACACAAAGTGGGAGTTGTCACAGCTGGTTTTTGCTAATGACACTGCGCTCTTGGGAGATTCTGTAGAGAAGTCGCAGAGGTTGGTGGATGAATTTGGTAGGGTATGCAAAAGAAGAAAATTAAAAGTGAATATAGGAAAGAGTAAGGTTATGAGGATAACAAAAAGATAAGGTGATGAAAGATTGGATATCAGATTGGAGGGAAAGAGTATGGAGGAGGTATAGGTACAGGTATTGCAAGGAACTTGCAATCCCATTCATTGATAACTGGGACAAATTCTATGGCAAGCATAATATGTATGCAAGGGATGGAGGTATAGGTATAGGTACTGCAAGGAACTTTCAATCCCATTCATTGATAACTGGGACAAATTCTATGGCAAGCATGATATGTATGCAAGGGATGGAGGTATAGGTATAGGTACTGCAAGGAACTTTCAATCCCATTCATTGATAACTGGGACAAATTCTATGGCAAGCATGATATGCATGCAAGGGATGGGGTTCATCTCTCTGGAGTTGGAGTGGTTGCATTAGCCAATTCGATTAAGGGGGTAATTGATGACTTGTCTAGAACCTTAAACTGATAGATTATTGAGGTGTGAGTGTTTGTGGGAAACAGTCAGGCTGCAGTATTAGGGTTGGAAACAGCAGATATTACCAGGATGCCTCAGGGATATGTTTAACCCTTAAACGGTCCAAACGTATATACAGGTCTCCCTCAACATTCGCGTTTTCAACTTTCGCGGGCTTCACACATTCGCGAATTTCCAACCGCCAAATCATATTTAAGTTTACCGCCACGAGTCCTTACTACCCTCCCTCCGACCCCTGCAACTGGCAGCCAGCCCTCCCACCACTATGTGGTGAGTGTTTTGTTTGTTCATTATTTGCTATTAAACAACAGTATAAATAATGTCAACCCATCCATGACTGCATATTAGAATGGCTATTCAGACAGGTATTGGAAGGTGACATGTGTTTACTCTTGAACACAGCAAACAATAAAAAATTTCTGCTACTGCTAATAATAATAATAATAAATACGATAGAATTGAAGAAGGAAATTGTACAAAAATACGAGGGTTGAAGCAGTGGTGGAGGAAGTGGTTGACGCATTGTCAGTGTGGCTTGGTTTATGCTGAAGTGAGTATTAGTCTCCGTGCTCTTCCAAACATTTCACAATAATTCATTGTATTTGGTGCTTGTAGATTGAGTGTGACTGGAGTGGTTGAGGGAGTGGTAGAGGCAGTGATAGAGGCAGTGGTAGAGGCAGTGGGTGAGGCAGTGGGTGAGGCAGTGGGTGAGGCAGTGGGTGAGGCAGTGGGTGAGGCAGTGGGTGAGGCAGTGGGTGAGGCAGTGGGTGAGGCAGTGGGTGAGGCAGTGGTAAAGGCAGTGGGTGAGGCAGTGGTAGAGGCAGTGGTAGAGGCAGTGGTAGAGGCAGTGGTAGAGGCAGTGGTAGAGGAAGTGGTAGAGGCAGTGGTAGAGGCAGTGGTAGAGGCAGTGGTAGAGGCAGTGGTAGAGGCAGTGGTAGAGGCAGTGATATTTACTAACATATATGTTATAAATAATAATAGTACATTATGAATAACATTTATTATTATTATAAATGTTATTAATATTAACATGTACTATTATTATTTATAACATATATGTTAGTAAATACCACTGCCTCTACCACTCCAGTCACACTCAATCTACAAGCACCAAATATGATGAATTATTGTGAAATATTGTGAATATTTACTTTATTTTTTACTTAATTCTAACTATAGATTCACTACAAATCTTATGATTACAAGCATTGATCCTGATACCAACCTCTTATTTAATGACTTAAATGATTCAAACAGTTACTGTAATTACTACACTGCAGAACAATCAAAGGCACTTCTCAGAGCCAAAAACAACATAACTATCTTTAACTACAATATCAGATCTTTAAGCAAGCATTATGATGACCTCCTAGCATTACTAAATTCCTTGTATGCCAATATGTCCATCATTACACTAACTGAAACCTGGCTAAAGCCTGATACTACAGATGTCTATGCCATTCCTGGTTACACAGCCATACACAACTGTAGGCCAGACCAACAAGGGGGTGGCACTGCTATATACTACTCAGACCAACTAGAATGTATCACTAAT